TGCTTGATCCACTAGATTGCAAGAAGAAAAATGTGTTAAAATGCTTCAAAGGAAAGTATGGAGGAAAGGGAGCAAGAACAACTCGCGGGACAAGAGGGAAATGAAATGGAAGGAGAAAGACCAAAATGAAGGCAGAAGGGCGGGTCGGCAGGGCATAGGCAAATTCACCGACGAAACCCACGTTGCTACAGTCTAAAGCTGATCACCACTGCATTGCCTCAGGATTCTCGTTGACCGGGCCATTCACCGACGAGCATCAAGTTGGCAATGGACGTATTACCGACCTGCATCTCATCGGTAATGACATAAAAGCTACAACGCCACCGGCCAGCAGCCGGATTCGCGGGGAGTTGCTGAATGCCAAATTACCGACAAGGCTTGTGTCGGCAAATTGCAGCAAAAAGCTGCACTCCCTGCCGCAGGCGGCAAGCTGGTTGGCGGGGGGTGCATTGGGAGTGCAAATTACCGAGAAGCTGGACGTTGGAAATTGAACCTCAATTACCGACGAGAGTTTCGTTTCAAATTTAAATTTACAGGCGTTCTTCTCGTCGGTGATATGGCTTTCCGTCATCCTCTCACCGGCCGGAGTAGATGCTGCATTTACCAACGTGTGACACGTATGAATTCTCTTGAATTACCGACAAGTGTTACGTCTGTGTACTAAATAATATATCTTACTCCCGTTTCGACTGTTTCGGAAGTTGCAGACTTGATTCTTATCGGTAAATTGATGCTTCACCGAGAAACCTTCTTACCTCGGTGATAATTGGTCGGTGAAACTAGGTTTTCTTGTAGTGATGGTCTAACGAATACAGGTCAAAGGATTTTGGATGCAGATTAATGTAGAGCAATAGGGACTAAACTTCTGCCAGGAAAGGTGTGTTTCTTGGCATGGGAGAATGTTCTTGGATGGATTATCAACAAAGAATAATTTGGCAAGAAGAGGAAATCAGGTGGAGGGAAGAAGCTTATCATGTACAGTATGCTGTGGAGAGGATGAGGATTTGGCTCATCTCATGATAAACTGTAGATGGACGCAACAGATTTGGAAGAAATTATTCGCATGGTGGGGGATTCAATGCACACTATCTAGCTCAATTTGCGATGCATTTAGACAACTTTCTCAGCTATGGCAAAATGGAAAGCTTAAGGAGATCTAGTCTTTCCTGTTTATATCCATTGCTAGGCATTTGTGGGGAAATAGGAATAGAAAGGTTTTTGATTCTGCCAAAATCTCCGATGATAGAATGGTGAAAATAATTCAAATTAAAAACACTTTTATGGATAAAAGATAAGTTAAAGGAATGTGAGTTTTCTTTATATGAATGAAATTGTAATCCTAGTATATGTACAAGATTAGTAGACTTGTAGTAGATATTTGTTCGTTTTTGTAAACTAGCTTTGTAAAGTATGAATAAGAATATCTCTTGTGCTCTAAATTGATAAATAATTTTAATTTGATTGATAAAAAATTATTTTTATTTTTTTAATAATTATGATAATATAACACAAAAATATATGAAAATAAATAAGGTTTTTCGTTTAGAGTTATAAAATTTATGAAAACCAAAAATCACAATCATACG